GAGAGAAAGAGAGAGAGGGAGAAATTCAAATCCATGACAAAATACAAGACTTAATTAATCTTAATGAGAGGATATTATGTGAAATCTCTCGAACAATTCTCCACAAAAAGATAATATACTGTACATACATGGATGTAAAAAGTGAGATTGATAAAATCTGTTAATAATTGGACATTTATATTACTGTGTATTATCCAGATAATTCAATTTTAGCTGGTAAGTTATTGGTCCATAATCATAGTAATTACAAGAATTCTTATACAAAACATTTGATAGGCTTAATGTTGCTCACTACATCACTACAGTTTATAAACTCTAACCCGATCTCATCGGTATCGACAATAAGAAACAGGTCATCATCAGTTATCGTATCGGCTGAAGAAAAATCCATATCCAGTTAAAAATAGTAAAGAGTGTGACGAACAGAAACAACATACAGTTGCAAAGAGTATGATGTTATGGATGCAGAGCCTATTGGTGTGCAGGCTTAAGTGGCTCAATGTAGGTGACATAAATATGTCTGGGCATAAGCAATACTAAAGCAGGCTGGAAATAGCGTGCATATAGAATGGTTGTTTAACTAATGTGCAGCAGATGGCAGCATAGTCTGCCAGAAATAAAGAAGCACAGGAAAAAGAGCATACTCCATATTCTAAAAAAGGTTAACAAAACCAAATTTAACTGTAATAAATACAACCAATTCCAACATGAGTTCAATCTCTATCACAAACGTCAATACTTAACCATCTAACCTTGTGTCAGTACAGTCAGTGGTGACTACAATGTTGCTAAAATGAATTTTATCAAACTATCCCAGCTACTTACTGATTCACTGACCTGTTCACTGTTTCATGCTCTATAAAGTACCTGACTGCAGAGTATCTACGCCTTCTATTAAAACACCATAGTTTTAATTAAATGGTTAACAACAAAACAAGGATGGCCAGTATATTTTTATCTTGCTGTCTGTTAAAGGGTAACAATGGTATTTTCAACCCGTAGCCTATTTTCCCATGTTTTTGTGTCTAAGTGACTAATGGACACAACAGTTTTTGAAATTGGTCCAGTATGGAGTGAGAGAGCTGCAGCTGGCAGCCGTGGAACTGGCTGCAAAGTAATCCTTATGGGCAATTGCGCACCGCCATTATACGTCCACTAAAGTGCTTGTTTTTGTCGCTGATTCTCATATTGTTGTTGTGAAAAAAGGTCAAATTACTGTTCTTGTCAATGGAGTGTGTGGCTTTGTACAGAGCGATATATCTGTCGCTTTCAGTTAAACCAGAAAGATCCTACTCTTTAACATAACATCTATCTCTGTGGGGTCCTTTCCGTAATGTTTTCAGACACTTATAATAACATTCTGAATCTACCAGTGGCAAAAAATTGCCCTGAAGGATTACATTTTAGCCTGCAGTTCTCAGTCCATACTGGACCAATTTCCAACATTGTTGTCCCCATTAGTCACTTACACACAAACACACGGGGAAAGAGGTTTCCCATTAAGTGTGGTGTTGGATTGTACTGACAGACACAGATCTGGAGTAGCGGTGGCTAGTCTAAGCTACATTCATTCTAGATATTATTCCACACTGTGCACACAGTTATTTTAAGTAATCTGTGCACTTTACTGAACTGCAGCTGCAAGTAAGTATCTGTTTGTACTAGATCTACGACCAGAGAATAGGAAGGAGGGTGAAGCAGTGGGGTGTGTGTGTGTTTGTGTGTGTGTGATATTAGCACATTGCCATAAACCTCATAAATTATTCAGTTGTATCCATCTGCAGCAGCAGTGTGCTTCCTGTCTCAACACACAGCATGTTCATATTCACATCTGCAGAAGCTTTTTGACAAAAAACATATTCTTTGCTTTAAGCAGGGGGAAGTGCTGGGTGATACTGTTGTCATTGCTCCAATGTGGAGTCGTCAGTCTAAAATTAGATTTTCTCTTTATTTCCTTTGTTTTGAATCATAAAAGCTGGTCTACCTGGCTCCATTAAAGACCTATAATATTTCCTTTTGTGGATTTAGTCTTTTGTGGCTCCAGAGGGAGCTGTATGAAGTCTGATAAATTGCCTTAAGTGATGTCACTTGGAGTTAGAAAGAAGTTCAGACCTCTGTAGCCCGCTCCTGCATCCACATGCTAAGGCTTAAGGCATTTGCCCGGTTATACGATACACACAAACTATCTGAAGAACTGCTTGAGATGCCATTGCTGATGCATCTCCTTTCTTATAACTTACTCCTTGGAGTGTAAAAATGCTAAATGGTTGAAGTATTCAGTTAATAGTTATGGTACTGTAATGCCGTATGGACAGTCAACAGGATATTTACATCCAAACAGAACTGGTGTCAAAAATAACTAATTTTATGAAAACATACAGACAAATACATTTCTATTTTATTTTTATTTGCTGGAAGCAGCCACTCCTCCTGCTTTGATGACCACCATACTGTTAAAAAATGAGTAATTTCTATGGGAATTATAGCATGGTTCAAACAATGTTTTTGACCTAATACTTTAAACTAATGTCCACATACTGAAATCTGATACAATTTAAAGCTATAAGTATCACAGTACAGGTCCTGATTGGCCAGCAGCAGCA